TGCAATTTGAACGTTTACAAGTCGTTGGGCGTATTGTTATTATGTAGTTTACACGGCATGGTGACCTTTTCGGTTTAGCATCGTAAGCGATATTGATAAAACGTAAGCATCCGCTTCGATCGAATCTTGTTCTCTGTTTGCAATGTTACTGATATGGGTTTTATATGAGAACTAGCTATCGTCCGCAACTTCGTCCGCGCTGAATTAAAAAAGAACATAATTAGTAGCTTATGTCTCCTAGAATATGGTTTATATGTATGCCAAATTACACAGAGATCCGTTAAGTAGTTCTGTAAATACATTCTAACAAACATCCATTTATCTAAACATTCGCATTTTAAATAGTTCCGATATCAAAAAGGTCTGTTTTGATGCTTATTGTTTCATGATCTAAATGTAAATAACGCGAATCCAATATTACATATTGAGTAAAATAAATTTAAGAACAAAATAATTTTCACTTTACTGCAGTCCTAAAGTGTGTTGTATTTTGTTTAAGATTGTGAGCCATACTACAATACCTTTTATATTTTATTTGGGATATTGATGGTGTATACATAAACATAGTGTTGTTTGTCTCGAGCGTACACGCCATAAGTACATGCCTGAGAGAGGGGACGTCAGTAGATGTCAAGCCTTTGGACCGGTAACACGTGTCGGTACGTGAACGAAATAAATATAACGCAACGAATGCTATAGATACGATTTATTTGTAATTCAGTTCTTTTTTATATTAAATATTTTAATTATAAGGAACATAAGTATAAACCTGCATATTACGTATAGATCAAATATAAAACAAAGCAAAAAATGTACTCCTATTAGTCGGTAATATAGTTGCCTTTATAAAAACTACTATAATTGGGTACATGGTTCAGAAAATTAACGCCAAACAACAAATTATCTCCTCGAAGCGTAATATCAAAGCAGTTCATTAATAGTTTACAAACTTAATTAAGGCTTATACCGTTGTACAAACAGTGATTGTACACTGCCGGGGTTATTTTAGACAACAGTCGATATATATTTTGTGTTTGGTTATTATAAATTTACTCATAAAATACTACAAAAAGTAGCCTACGTTTTGTTCCAAGCTATGTTCTAAATCTATGCAAAATAGCACAAATATCTATGCAGGCGTTACACCGAAATACGGCGAAATACCTTCTAACAAACATCCATCCATTCATCAAGACCTTCACATTTATAATATTAGTAAGATAGTGAAGTAACAAGTTTGTTCACCTTTTAACGAAAAAGCGGAAGCAGGAAAAATTTTAATTATAATAAATAGAAAATAGTCGAATTTCGACCAATGACGGCTATAAGTAATAAGCTATGGAATCCAAAATGAATCGTTAAAATTCCATTCTTACATTTTCTTCTAATACACATATTCCATGGCTTAAAATACTAAAGACGATTTTTTAAGATGCAAAAGGTTTAAAATAAATGATAGTACAAGTTCTACAAGTGTTTATATTATCTAATATGAGTTTAGTTTTGCTGCGCAATTTCGAGCCAACCGATAGTTCATACTCTTTCAGACAAGAAGCAATATTTCAATTTTGTTCTACGGCTCTTGGAGCTGGAACTTTGCTAAAAAGATTTTATATTATAACATTTTTATAGTTTTATTTGTAACTAGTGGTGGTTCGAGACTCCGTTCGCGCGAAATTAAAAAAATAGCTTATGCATTCTTCCAAACGGTATTCTATATGTATACCAAATTTCATCAAAATCCGTTCAGCCGCTCTTTCGCATTCATAATATTAGTAAGATTTTCATATTTTGATACACCGCGTTCTATTTTTATTTTGACAAAATAACAATATATTCTGAAAACATGAAGTTTTTGAACGTTCAAAATAGATAATCTCAAAATCGGCTGATCGAAATTGAAATAAATACATATGTTTACGTTCGTGAGATACCCGAATAATATACACGGTCATAACCTGTCTGTAAATTGGTTGTGGTCGGAAAGATAGAGGGACATGACGGCGTGGTGGCAGCTGGTAGATACAACCGTTCAAGCGTATCAAGACAAGCGCGACCTTCAGTAATGAAGAATACGAAGAAGAAGAAGAACCTGTCTGCAATATTCAGGCGATTTCTATAACTCTAAGCGGTTGGAATAGAGCGATCTGCATTTTTCATACGAGATTGTAGTTATCCATAAATGTAAGATTTTGGAATGAGTGTTTCCCGTTGGCGCGATTGTGACAAATCCGAATTCAAAGTCGACTTCTAAAACCCTACATTTATGACCAATGGGTAAATATCCAACAGGGAACAACCTCTGCAACGCAATCGGCTTACGGTAGACTCTTTGGAGTTGTCGGTGCCGACTACACTGAAGCAGACAACTATAACGGGAAAATGGCACCGTCTACTTAAGCTTACTTTTGACTCGTGTAAATAACGATCAAGTAAAAAAAAAACATACAGACGAATAGAGAATTTCCTCCTTTTTGAAGCCGTTTAAAAATGAATTACATTACTTTTTCCTGACTTTTTTGGTTTTAGCTTTCAGTTCATCCATTTCCTAGTAGAGTGAAGAATGTTGTAATGGAGCTTGACGAAAGGCAATAAATTAAGGTGTCTCTAATGGATCACTTGAACTACGGATACTTTCATATCCTTTTCTATTTGAATGTTAATCTTCTGGTTAAAATACGTTCTTCCTAATACATTTTATTAAGGTTTTGCCACATTATTCATGGTTAGCTTCATCAAACATGTAGATAAATAAAATTAAATTATATTACAATAAGTATGGAGTGGATTGCACTGAATACACTGGGTGAACATTGTGGCAATCGATGGAAGGACTACGTTATTTTATAGGAGAAGGGGCAAGTGACAAGGGAGGAAAGCTGACAATGATGATGATGACAATAAATATTAAAAGTAATAAAATTAGCTTTAGAGAGATTCGGGTTTAATTTAGTAATTATACAACTTAATATAAACACACATTTTTGCTGATTATTAGCTCGAATTGACTATGAAAGTAATTATTGCGTTAAAGCTAATTACCAGATAATATAAACAAAAAGAGTAGGTATGCATTATTATGATAGTTTTATAACAAAATATTATTTATTAGAGTTCCGTACCTCAAAATAAAACGGATCCCTTATAGGATGGATCACTTTGTTGTCCATCTGTCTGTCTGTCAATACCCTTTTTTTACTCAGACAATGTATGGTGTGGCATCTTTAAGTATAAACATTGCAGTAGCGAAAACGCACGGTTATAAAATCTAGTTTGGATAAATAGGAAGTGTAGTCAAAGCCGAAGATAATAAAGTGACTATACGTGCATGGGTGCGAGTGCTAAGCGATCCGTAAATCCAGGCATCCATTAGCGATAAAGTAATTTATTGCCTTTCGTCAAGCACCATTTATACTTTCTTCGCAATAGCAGACAAATGGGAGAAATGTACGCCTGATTTAACACTAACTGCGTGAAAAAGTGAACTAAAGGGTTACACGAGAGTACGAAACTTTTGCTATTATAAAAACTTTACTGTAAGGTTTTCTAAACCAATTGCTACTGTATTTTTACTACCTGCTTATTGAATATTATTTTCGATACGTATTTAATGTTAGGAAGAAAATCCGACACTGTGCCGGTGTACTGGCAGAACACAAACCTTACTAAAATATCGACGTTTATGTCCCCTCACTAATCATTCTGACACTGGACTTGGTAACGAAAGAACGTCATTCGCGCCAAAGGATTCTAACTAATAATGACTAAAATTAAGTAGTTTCATTAGCTCAACTACCAAAAATGAAAAAAAAAATATTTTACTGTTAGTTACGGATAAACTCAAAAACTACTGAACCGATATAAAAATTTCTTTCATCATTAGATAGCTCCAATCTCGATGAGTAACATAGGATGTTTTAATATCGAACGATTCTGGTAATTACGATTATTTTAACGATTAATTTTGATTCCAAAAAGGACAATGATACGTGTTTTTTGACATTAATAGAATGACTGTGACAAATAGAATGACTGACCAGAACAAAGAAGCTTGCGTTGCTGAACAATTTCGCTGAGGCATGTTACTATCGAACAAAGAAACGAACGGAGTAGACGATTGTTAAAATTTTACTGCACTTCGTCTAATTATTTAGATAATTTCTTTGTTAAGGACTTATAAAAAGTTGATTGTTTAAAATTTGATAATAAAGATGTATAAGGTTTTAAATTTATTTATTTCATTCATTCATAATTGTGTCAATGCTGCCAATACCTTCCCGGTGGACTGATTAAGCTTAGGTATTTAAAAGTCGACTCTAAAGTAGTGGCTATAAAGTTTAAATTGCCTTATACACAATGGCATCAATATTTCGATATTTTTATTCATAATTTAATAAACTGTAACATTTGTTCACTGAAATGATATCGGACAATTTTATTTGTCTTATATAACCTTATGTCTACAAATCGTTTATCATTCAGTTATTCTAATCTATTGGATTAAATAGTTTTTGCTTCAATAAACATTTATTTAACCTTATTAGTGAATTTGTAGGAAATACAATGTTTCCATTGTTGGTTTTATTTGCGAGTTAATAAAAGGACTCAACAGTTTTTGAGTTCCTTCAACACAATATGCGCCTGTCGTCACGAATGTGCCGTCATTACTCAATGTCCAACCAAACATCTGAAGAACTAACTTTTTTCCTATTATATGGCTATTTTCGACGCGCCTGTACCGAACCCGTACGCAGTATCTGTTCTATGAAAGGATTAAAGTAAAAGTTAAAACATTGCAAACTTTATTATTATGACATATATTCATGTCTTACACCGCAATTTAAGTATTTATATGCATACTCTTTGGTAGTAGGTACCAAAGAGTATACATGTTGCTTAAGAAGTCGAACTGGCCGTTGACACGCAACGCCATATAATAAAAGATATTATGTAGATAAAAAACAAGAGACGGTAGTAAAGAGAAAACTTTGAATGTGATTGCTAGTAGCTAATTCAGAATTTTTAATAATCAATGTGAACTAAGAGGGAGTGTTGTAAAAATAGTATTATATTTTAATGACTTTTAAATAATAAGTTTTGTATTTAGTTAATTAGAAGTGTACCTGCAATTGGACAATAGCAAAAAATTGTTAATGATGCGTAAGTAATTTTATAGGTTATATATTTTTTGAGTTGTCAAAGTTGTTCAATAACATATATACGATGTATAAGATTGCAAAATTTATTTTTAGAGACCCGTTGGAGCCAATAGCAGAGCTCAATGAAACATGGACTTGGCACGGACGTCACGAAGTCGGGCCAAACTTATGTATGTACAATGTATTTTCTATAAAAAACCAAACTTTGACCACAACTTTAGCATACAAAAATAATGTTTATATCAAACTGAATTTTAAGATACTTTTAATTTAAATATTTATAGGCATTTAATTGTTTTTCCACCAATTTTATTTATCGTTTATTTTCTTATGTGAAATTCGTAATTAGTGTGTCATCATCAGCTCACTATGTGTCCCCACCGAGGGGCTCGGAGCCTTCCCTAAGTTAAGGGTGACTAGGCCATAGTCAACCACGCTAGCCAAGTGCGGGTTGATTGACTTCACACACATATATATTTATATATTGATAATTTTAATTGAGATGTGAGATGAATAAGATGATAAAAATTTTGGAACATCTTGTTTTTAAAAAACGTTATCAATTCCAGAAAAATTTACTCTCTAAATAAACGTATTCCAAAGAGATTTTTTGTTAAACGTGTTTTAATGACAAAGTACGTTTGATATTTCTGTTATTCCGTTTAAAACAAAGGGAAATGTTTGCCAGAATGTAGCGCAAAATAAATGGAGACACAGTATTTCATCCTTTCAAACGAAAGTTTCTGTCATGACAACATATTTTCTTGTTTCCCCCTTTACTTGCAGACCTTTGTGTGAATGTGTTACTTTATTTTTGATTAATTTTTAAATAACTTTTTTATAAACGATTCTTTATATGTTTGAAACGGCATAAAGAATAAAAACTACTTTTAAATTTTCGTTATGATAGGAGCCATATAGTTCTATTAACGAAGACCTCTGGCATTGTTTAGAAAAGCTTTACTCCTTTAAATAATATCTTTTGGCTTCTTTAGTTGTTTTGTTTTACCAACATTATTGATATCCTTCTTTCGTGTTTTTAAGTTGCGAATTTGACTAAGAGCTTATCATAATTAAGTTTCTAAATATAAATACACAAGTTTAACTGTCAAAAAAATCCGTTAGGTGGGAAAAATTCACGCATAAATTCAAATTACAAAATTTCTATAAACTTTACCTTTATGAATAATTGCTATTTAAAATTTAACGAAAGAAGTGCCTTTAAGTATATTTAAATAGACAAGGTAACAATTTTATTCTTGTTCCTAATGCATATAGAATTCTTGTCTGCATACAACTAAGTAGGGTTGCCAGGTCGCAAACCTAATATCCGGTCAGATCAGCCAGTTTGGCTGAACATTTGGGTAGAAAGGCTGGACGCCCTACATTATTGAGGATTTTGTCTCGGTATAGGTATAGCTGCGATAAAATAATTGTATGTAAAATCACCCTCGTTTGCGTAATGTAAAAAGTCTAATGAATGCCGTATAACCAGGACACCGCTTATTTTGGCCGGATACGCCATCAAAAAGCCTACCTATGTCCGGCTTTGTCCGGACGCCTGGCAACGCTACAACTGTGTAACAGTACAGATTTTCATGACTTATTTATTTTTAGACCATGCCAGGTGTGTAAAATATGACTTTTGTAGTACTAGTATGATAAAGCCTAGCCAAAAAACTGAAAAATAGATTGCTGGCGGTTAAATGTTTGTTGTTTGAAATATTCTCTTTATCTTTATTATCGTCGTTTCGATTTTCAACTACTATGTTTCGTTCTTGTTTCTGTCAGTCAGCTCTTTTTTATTATCTGCGACCATTATCTGATAGATATTCAGTTATGGCATTTTATTTATTTTACTTTAATCCTTTTTTTACTTCATACTTTTACTGTTTTAAATACAGATTTTTACTACCAAAATAAAATAAAAACTTAAAATATTATTTTCAGTGAATACAGCATTATATTATATTCTTTCTTTTCATCACATTTTATTTAATAATAAAACTAAATTGTTAAAGAAGTCCTTCTCTTTATCGTTGATGAAAGTGGCCGCGTGATTTACTGACAGCGCGGTCACCAGACCCTTTGTCAGTTATAAATCAATTGAGTTAAAAGATAAAAGCTTTCCTGAGATTTCTTCCAGAGGTATTATAGCTTTCACTCGATTGGTGACTGCACATTACTTCCTGTTACCTAACTAATCTTTTTTATCAGTAACATTAAACCCGAAATAGAAGTCTGACTACTATTCACACTAGTATCCTAGTATCCTTACTAATATTATAAATGCAAAGTTTAGATAGATGGATGAATAGATGTTTGTTTTAAAGGTATCTTCAGTACGGTTGCATGGATCTCGCTGAAATTTGGTAAAGATATAGAACATAGCCTAGAAAAAGACATAGACTACTAATTAACTTTTAACTGCCTTGAGGCAGTAAGTTAACATATTTGATGATTTTGATAGTCAAATTATTAATTCTAACTTTAAATCGTAATTTATTATTTTTAGAAAAGAATAAGGTTAAAAATTAAATATATTTCCTGTTCAATGTCTTCTTTTTTAACTATATATTTTTGATATTATACTGAGGCTAAGAAATGTAAAATGCACTTTGAAATTATTGGCGTTACAATTTAGTATAACATTTTATATTTCGCAACAAATATTTTCTAGCAAAGAAGACAATTTATTAAGCTATTCCGACATCAGCTATCAGATGGACCACACTAGGGTGCAGTAAATTCATGTAATTGAACCGACCGCGTGAAACAGTCTTGATATATGGCCAGACGTGGATAGGTTTAAAATAGTTATAAAATGTTAGATGCTATGTTTACAAGTTCTGCGGTTGACGTAATATGTTTTACAAATGTACTGTGTGTTTGGCTTTCAAGGCCCATCACGAAAATTTGTAAGAACGTATTCGTAATGTCATCGACATTTGTATTAAATTTGTGCAGTACCGGGCGTGAGGTACAGCACGAAATTTCATATAAATTAATTTTTTTTTTCGAAAACTTTCCAAAAGCTCGTGTCGCAAATATTCGTGCTTGTCACTTTGTTTTAATCTTTTGTTTTTAATATAGCACAAAATGTGTAGCAAAATTGTAAATAAAGTGTTCTTCAAAGCAGGTTTTAGTAGAAATTCAAAAATCTTATCAGCGCTACTAACCATGGTGTAATCATTTTACAATTTAATATTCTTTTTGATAAAAAAGCAGTAAAATTTTTTCAGTGTTTATTTATTAGTTTTAGTTATTTTTCCAATTGCTATGAAAACCACAAGTTTCTTTTCAACAACTTCGAGTTGTATGAGATGCGGTTTAAAATACTTTTCACAAAGTTTCATTTCTGTTCGCGTTCCAATTTAGATCGTATAAGTTTCATGTACTTTTGCTTAAGTTTCTTTGCTTTATAGAGGAAGATATTTCCAATCAAATGTTTAAATAAGTTTTTCTTCAAAAAAAAGAAGTGCTTTTATAAACAATTTTATTTCAAGCAGTGATAGAAAGTTTAAGAAAAATGCGAAAATATGTTAGTCCTTACTTCAGTCACGTAGATAACCAATCGAGAAAAGAGGCACAGAGAGATCCATTTATATTGATTATTGACCTCTTTCGAAAAACAAAGAGATATCCTAACTTACATGGACAGTACAAGGTCAAAAAACAACAATCAAACTTTCTTATAAATTCACAGTTTTATTTTTTTCCTCATTATTGTAGGTTTCAGTTGTTACTCCATTTTTTAATTTTCTTTCCGCTTTCAAGAATAATTTTCTTTAGACTTTTTAGTACCTAAATTTCCATGATTTTTCTGTCTTCAAATCGACTATAAAAATATCTTATTATAGTCGATTTGAAGACAGAGAATCTATTCTGTACGCAGCCATTCGTACTGATTAATGTCATGGATTACATCGTTCGAATAAAAGATAACTCTTAGTACATAGTTACATTTAAATAAATATAATGCTAAGGCTTGTGCTTAAAAGGGGTCTTAATGTGTAGACGGCACAGCGGAAATGTTGTGAGGCGTCTTAATTAACTACGATCGTCGTTTGATCTCCGTCAAAGCTCATTTTACGGGTCGACGATTTACTATAATTTGGAAAAGGAATCACCGTTACTAACTGATTTGACGATAATAATACTTTCAAATGAAATTAAATACATATGTTGAGCATTCTAATAATAGTAAATGGTTTTGTGTTAAGATTAAAAAAATGAAGCTGAAAAAGAAGTAAAACGCACAAATTACGAGAGTTTCTAGCGTTTTCTATCACAATGAAACTTCTTTCTAATATTATAAATGAGAATGTTTTGATGGATGGATAGTTTGTTAGAAAGTATATCCAGAAGGGCTGTTTGAATCTTGCTGAATTTTGGCATAGATGTATAACATAATCTGGAAAAACACATAGGCTACTAATTAAGTGTTTTTTTTTTCAATATGGCGCGGACGAAGTAGCGACAGAAAACAAAATAAATGTCTATGCTATTTACTAATTATAACTTAATATTAAAATGTGTTTTATTTGAAACAATTTAAATGCGACATAAAACAGTAAACAGTAAACAGTTATAAATGAACAAAAAATAAAAAGCGTATTCTTTGTTTCTATTTTATGAGTATTCTTCGCCACAGGCAGTACTTTGTGGAAAGAATATTTTAACGATAAACATCTTCCAAGACGCTTTTGTTCTGTTTATCGTTACGATTTTGCTGATTTGCCTTGATCTTTTTTCTTTTAAACCTTTTTTTTTCGTCTGTTGGGCGTAGATTAGTAGACGATTAAACTTTAAATAGAATTATGATGTTTAATTCTAGTTTTTCGCAATGTAAGTTCACGTATTAACAGTTTGCTATTTATGAGAAGATGGGAACCTGTTGATTTTTAGTATATGTCATAGATTTTTGATAACCCACCTACGTTGTCAAAAGTCGAATTTATGAGATAGTAGCTGTCAATCCTCGTAACCCGATACCTTCCCGCGGAATAAAAAAAACTAATTAGTAGCCTATGTAGTCTTTAAGAATATGTTCTACATGTATGCTAAATAATCTTCTAACATCCATTGATCAATCCAGCTAAACTTTCGCGTTTACAATATTAGTAAGATTGTTACAACTAGCTTTTGATACTTTTTAGAGAGATGCCAC